CGCCCGTCACATTCAGAAAGTTATGCTTGATTATTATTGCTGTACTTCGGTGTTATTATATAAAATGTTGCATGGAGAAGATTTTGATTGTTGTTTATAGTTGAAGAAGAAGTTTTTCTTCTTCTGTTTCCGGAGAGGCATTACCGCCAACTACTGGAATGGAGTGTGAATCGCGATGTGCAGCCAGACGGAGATGACGCGTTCTGCTCCTGCGCTCTTATTATCAGAGAACCGAGCCAGGGAAAAACCGAGCCGAGCCCACCTCCGGAACCGGTCTGCAGTTATCTCGGTCCGGTTGTGTCTAGCTCAGTAGTGTAAATGGGAAAATAAACACTGAAGGCCAGCAACTTCTCATCAACTGTTTATTAACTAACAGTAATTCCTTAAACGCTAAGCAGATCAATATTGGTCTTTTATTTTCAACACTTTCAATCTCATAGCCTTGAACATCGGTTGTACTTTCTGTTTTTCATGGATTTCAGCATACAGTGCATCTCGCCATGGTGTCATCATTCCTCACCATGGCCGGTTCTAGACAGGGGCCAACGGGGCCAGTGCCCCTGTAGATCATCTCCTGGCCCCTGTTATGGCCCCTGCACTGAAGACAGAATACTTAACAGAAATTCTAATGATAATGCGCTGGAACAGACATGATTACTGATGGGTCCTTTGGATCTATTTCATTCTTTTTCTTTACAAATACTGTTTTACTAATTATTCAAAAACAATAAGGTGATAGCTTCAGTGCTGAGATAGGATCCCAGTTTTCATCTGCTAAATGTTTTTTTTTTATAACAAATAAAAAATGCTCTAATTTTTACAGATGAATTTAACAGTTTTTCAAATCTATAGAAAACGGTAGTTTTAAACTTAAATTAAGTCAAAAATATGTAAAAATCCTAAATTATAAATGTATATTGACCTAATAAGTAATAGAATTTCTATTGAAACTAATTGAATAGAAATTTTACTTCATGCAGCTCTATTAATATATTTGAATCTCTTGCTCTGTTATTTATCAGCCCAGTGGATTGTCCAACAAAAGGACACGTCTCTGTTTATTATTTCCTGCTGTCACCATGTTCCATAATCTTATGAAAGGACCTGGAGACGAAAACTGAGGCAAATCCAGAGAGAGAGAAAAGGGTCCAAACATGGTCTGACACAGTAATAATTAAATGTTCACAGGTTTTGGTCACAAACCAAATTCTCTATTTAATAATTATTTATTTCTCTATTTCCACAACAGCCACTCTGAGAGATTTGCTTCATCTCTTCAGGATATTTTGTTATGTTGATTTATCCCTTTGCTTGAATGTCTGAGGTTCTGATTAAGACTGAGGAAAGGTGATGCTTCCTCTGACTGTTCGTGTTCTGTTGAAAATCTTAACAAATAGAAAAAAAAGAGTGAATAATATAATCCAATAGAATGAAATTAGATTCCTCTAAATGAAAATCTAAGAATTGGATTTTCCTTTCCTCCAAAAATATTAATGCACATGAATATAACATAGAACTTCAAAAACAAATCCAGTGAAAATGTTTTAACTCAGTCTGTTTCCCCTGCAAGGCTGAGAAAAGGTTGGAGTGACGGGCGGTTTAGACAAATCATGCTTATTCCCACGACAAACTAAATTGTTTCCTAAGGTTTGTTAAATTGTGTGTTAATTTCTTTGACTCTGACACAACCGTCACCGTTTTTTCATCAACATAAATAAGGGAAAGCATTAAACTGTCAGAACAGGGCAGATTGCTGTGCCATAAGGGCTGTTCTCTCTTTGCAAAGATAAGAAAATGAAGTTCCCACTGAGTGAAATCCATCGATCTACATTCATTTAACCAGGGTGAATAGTTGCACACTAAAAGATTTTAATTAATTGCAGGATTTAATGATTTTTTTTCAGGAGACAAAAAATGAACAGAAATGTTTTCAAAAGATTAGTTTTTACAGCTACAAATAGTTTGCTAACAGCAATGGTTCCCGTATTTGTCTCTGGGAGTGTCCATCATTCCCAGAACAAGTCCCGTTCTCCTCCAGTAGCTTCTCCTCGGAGTAACTCTGATGTAAAACAGCAGAAACATAGACCAGCAGGTCATCTTGGTGCAAGCTTTAGGAAGTTCTTATCTGAACCAGTGGTTTGATCCAGAAATAGCAAACAGTCTCCATGAATTGTTTTGAAATCCCAACAATAAGAAGTGGGTAGAGTGGAAATGACGGTCCTGCCTTATTTAGGGTTTCTTAAAGGTAAATGTTCAGTAAACTATTGAAAATGCACGTATGATTTCTGTTCCAGAGATAATGAAGAATAATTGAGTAACTGGTGAATTGTTGGTTTGTTCACTCTTATTGTTGTTTCATTTGTGTTGTGGGTTCTTCAATAAAACATGCAGGTACTTTAACAGAATGGGCTTTATCCATTAAACTTTCACGCTCATATTACAGGCGTACACAACTGTGTTCATAAAACACTACATATCTTATGTTCTAACACTAGGATTTTATACAATGCACATGCTCCACCTATCTAGCTCATAGGGAATTACATCATTCAGGATGACCATTAAATTGTTCATATCATTACTTCTGCTTTAAGTAAAAGTATTACACTTTTTAAACTGATGGCTCAGGAACATTGAAACCTTATGAACTTACATTAACCTAACTTTTAACCTATTGAAATGTACTTATTTTAATCTGAAAAACCATTCCAACTATATCAAACTATCTTTCAAAATGTAACCTCATCCTGACTGAACTACAATACTAAATCTGTACAATCAGTCAGTCAGGTGCTCATATAACCCTTAAAGATCTGTTGAGGTGTTGTTCTGGACTTTGAGCAGGATCTGGATTTGAATCTGGAACTGTTGCCTCAGATGATTGATTCTCTGGATGCTGATGTTGCTCTGCTGCTTCATCAGGCGGTCGATCTGCTTTTGTTGGCCCCAGGATGTCACGGCGATTCCTTCTCAGCACCGCACCATCTTCTGTCTTAATGTTGTATGATCTTAGTTGAATTTGTTTCAGGACAGCTGCTTTCTGTGACCATGTGTTTGTTTTTTGTGCTTGAGTCTCACCTTGTTGCCAGTATGCAGTTCAGGTACGTTTTGTGTTCCTCTGCCGTAGTAGAACTTTTGTTTTGTTTTGTGTTGTTGTTTGTATCTCTTCACCTTTCCTCCCTCCTTTGTTTTCAGCAGCTTTTCCTGAATAGGCAGGTTTGATCTCAGTCTGCTCCACCATCCTTGGCTTTGTGCAACAGTCTCTTCACAGTCTGAACGGACTTTTCAACTAGGCCATTTGACTGTGGGTAATGCAGACTCCATGTTGTGTGCACAAAGTTCCATTCCTCAGCAAAGCGTTTGAAGCTCTCACTGGAAAATTGTGGTCCATTATCTGAGAAGACCTCATTTGTCACACCGTGTCTTGCGAATGCGGCTTTTATGGCTGTTATTACTGCATTTGCTGTTGTAGAATTCAGCCTACTAACCTCTGGATACGACAAATAATAATGTGTGATGACAATGTAGTCTCTTCCAGCACATTAAAACAGGTCAGCACCTATTTTTTGGTATGGTCTGTCGGGTACTTTGTGGGGTTTGAGTGGTTCAGCTGGATGGCTTGATTGATATTTCAGACAATTGAACAATCAGACACTTCACTTGTGATGTCTTGATTTATCCGTGGCCAGTACATCACCTCGCAAGCTCTTCTTATCTTTGTCTATCTTTATCAGTTCAATCTTGGCATCAGAAACAGGTAAGGCCTTTGTGATCATGTCCACATAAGCATTCACATCATCATTTATGTTGCTGCTCACCGGTTCCTTTGGGTCAGCTGCTCTTGACAAAGCGTCGGCTGTGTACATCAGCTTGCCTAGTGTATACGTCACTGTCCATGAGTAGCGTTCTCAGTGGACAGTCATTGAGTGGTTTTTTAAACGGTGCGATCAATGGTTTATGATCAGTTTCTACACCTATTTCCTGTCCTGACATGAACTGGTGAAATCTATCACATGCATAAGTTATGCTTAACAGCTCCTTCTCAATTAGTGCCTAACGCATCTCTGCATCTGTCATTGAGCGTGATGCATATGCAATGGGTTGCCATTCATGGTACAGCTGTAGAAGAACAGCTCCTAGTCCACTTTGCGATGCATCGGATGAGATCTTGATGGGCTTAGCTGGATCCTAGAACCTCAGTACTGGTTCAAGCGTAAGCTGTGTCTTCAGGTCTTTCCATGCTTTTTCATGTCCATGACTCCACTTCCATTCTGTTTTCTTTTCAGTTAGTTGTCTCAATGGTGCCATGCGTTCAGAGAGATTAGGTATAAACTTTCCTGTGTAGTTAACCATTCCATTGAATCTCTGCACATCTTTCATGCATTTTGGCGTTGGCATGTTTTCTATTGTTGTCACTTTTCTGGGATCAGGCCTAACTCCCTCACTGCTAAGTTTATCTCCAACAAATGTCAGTTCTTTCACACCCTTTTCTTTGTTTAATTTCAGGTTTGCTTTTCTTGGCGCTTTCAGGACACTTTTCAGCCTCAGGTTGTGCTCAGCTTTTGTACTTCCCCATACCATTATGTTGTCCATGGAGGTGTCTACACCTTCCAAGTGCTCATAGATCATATGAATTGTTTTATGATACCCTTCAGGTGCTGAAGCTATGCCAAATGGTAATCTCAAAAATCGGTATCTGCCAAAAGGACTGTTAAACATGCACAATTTTGAGCTTGCACTGTCGAATTTTAGTGGCCAAAATCCAGAAGACGCATCTAACTTGCTGAAGTATTTTGCATTAGCAAACTGTGACATTATTCCTTCTCTTGAGGGTCATTTAAAGTGTTCACGCTTCATAGCTCTGTTCAAATTTCTTGGATCCATGCACACTCTAGGCTTAATATTCTTTTTGTTCACACTGACCAGAGAACTGACCCAATCAGTTGGTTCGTCAATTCTCTCAATCACTCCCAGCCTTTCCATCCTGTCAAATTCATCTTTTATGGGCTTTTGAAGAGCAAATGGTACTTTTCGGCATGAATTGATGACTGGTGGCACTGTCTTGTCAACTTGGATGGTGTGCTCTCCAGGAAGACAGCCTAAACCCTGAAACAGATCCTTTTAATGTTCCATAAGTTCATCATACTCTGTATCTGCATAGATTCAGTCTCTCACAGGCAGCTAATCCTAAAATGGTCTGTACATTTCCAGCTGCTACTATGAATGCCAGCATTTGCTCTTTCTTTTTGTGTGTCACTGTGACCATGCATTTTGCTTTAACAGGTATTGCTGCTCCGGAATATCAACTCACTTTCACTTTTGTTGCATGTAATTTTGGTCTGGGTCTGATTTTTTTAAACACAGTCTCTGAAATCACATTTGCTTGAGCTTCTGTGTCTAATTTCATCGCCGTGTTTGTGTCATTCACTTTTAACTTCAGCATCCAATCTGCCTTGTCTGCATTTTCTTCTGTTACTACATCCACATAGAGTTATTTTCATTCACTGTATGCTCTTGGCTCTGTCGTGCCTGACTCTTGCACTGCCTTGCATAATGGTTCTTTTTGTTGCAATTGTTACACACTTTGCCATACGCAGGGCATTTCTTGGGAGGATGCTGCATGCCATGTCGACTGCACGCCGTTCCATGCACGTCTCTGTGCGCTGGTTTCGTTTCACTCTTCAAGTCGGCAGCGCCGCTTTTCTTCCTGACTGCTCCTCGTTCTTCTCTCCTAACTGCATCCACGTTGCAACTCTCACCAACCAGCGCTTTTGCTTGTGTTCTGACCGTTTCTGCTGCTCTGCATAGTGTCAGGTCTCTGTCTAAATCTAAATTTTCCTCTCTCAGTACCGTTTCTCGTAGACCTTTATCTAGAATTCTTCAAACAAGCTTGTCTATTATCAACTGATCTGTCAGTCATCCAAACGCACACGTCTTGCTTCTGTTCCTCAGTTCGGAAACATACTGATCAATAGTTTCTCCCGTTTTCTGAACACAGGTAAAGAATCTTGCCTTTCAAACGTGAAGTTTCTTTTTGGAATACAGTAATCCTCAAACTTCTTTAGTATTTTTTCCAAATTCCTTTAATAATCTTCAGCGTCAAACTGGAAGGTGTTATAGACTTCTAGTGCATCTTCACCCACTACATGTAGAAACACTGATGCTTTCACTTTCTTAGATTTATCGCTAGCACCGATAGCTGATACGTACAGTTGAAAGCATTGCTTACACTTCCTCCAGTTCTCCGCCACATTACCTGTCAGCTGCCGATTGGGTGTTGGTTGTAGTGTTTGCATCTTTGGTTTTTTTATGCTCTTTTTCTCCCGTGGAAAACAGGCTAACAATCCTCAGTTGACTTAACTTGCTATGTTCTCTGCGGACTAGCATCAGACGTTTTTCAGTCAATCCTCTCTAATTTGCTGTTAACATCCAAGTTTCTCCTCAAGTCCGTCTCCTGACACCATGTTTCATTTGTGTTGTGGGTTCTTCAATAAAACACGCAGGTACTTGAACAGAATTGGCTTCATCTATTAAACTTTCACGCTCATATTACAGGCGTACCCAACTGTGGTCATAATACACTACATATCTGTATGTTCTAACACTAGGTTTTTATACAATGCACATGTGCCACCTATCTAGCTCATAGGGAATTACATCATTCAGGATGACCATTAAATTGTTGATATCATTACAATTTTTGCCTTTGATAAATGTTTTAGAATCAGATTTAAAGCTGATCGTTACTGATGATAACCACCAATATTCACTCTAGTGTTCATTATGACTCCAGAATATATCTGGATTAAAGGACCACAGGTCCGATTCTAATCCGGGTCGGATGTGGCGAAGACTAAGGCCTCTGTAGGTAGTTTGTCCGCACTAGTCACTGCACCATCGAAGCAGGGCCCAAGAACTTAGAAGCTTTTAATAAACAAGGAAATAAAGTAACTTTTTTAGATGAGCTTTCTGTGAAGTTATAGGTTGATGTTGCCCTGAGCTAGCTAGTTTTGGTGAAGGCTCAAGAGGCCTTTCTACTTTTTCCTTCCACTCTCCAATTCTGATGGTGGTTGTTGCTCCCACTAATCCCACTCTCCACTGGTTAGCTGCAGAGTCAACATCGTCATTTTAGAGTCTGTTCTTCCTCTAATGATTGACCATTTACTAAATGGCTGTATCTATGAGTTGGGTCTATTCAGTCTAATTGTATTTATTCTAATCAGACTGGATTTGAACCTTCATTTAGACCCAGCCTGGGTGAATATTCTAATCCAGAGGGAATGGAATCAATTTCTGGAGGAGATTTCTGCTCCTGATGATGCCAGGTTGAAGCTGTCGCTTCAGGGCTTCATCTGTACTGATGACGTTGTTAGTCAAGTCTTTTGAAGGAGTTGAGGGAAAGAACCTCTGGATGTAAGAGCTTTTCTCTGGAGGATCCTCCATGAGTCAAGGGTCGGGAGCTCCATCATGATGTGGCTCCTCATCTAAAGGAGGTTTGTTTGATACTGATGGCTCCCTGGCTCCTTGGAGGTTTCAAAACCTTTCCATTGGAACGAGACAGAGGGGTTGTTTCCTTTAGGTCTTCATTATGTCTTAGCTACAGGCAGGTTTACCTCTCGTGGATCCTACTGAACTTTAAGCCCATCCCTAATGTGTCATTGTGAGAAAGATGGCTTGGGTGCAACAATGTAGTCTGGAACAAAGCATTTAGGGTCCAGCTCCACTTGGTTCTGATGAAAGATCTCATTCAAACTCTGAGGCTGATATTCATTCCTCACCTGCAGCTTCGGCTCGGTGCCTGGGGTCATACCTTCCTTTAGTATCAGCAAGTTATATGTTGGGTTGGGAAATAATGACAGAGGCGGGCTTTTTGGGTTGGACCCATCCAAAGCATTAGTGGTCCAGTTTGGGTGGGGTGTGTTCTGGTAGCCCTGTGGAGCTTGTGTTTTATCCTGGTGGATGTTATTTTTGATTTGCTCTTCAGATTTATAAACCAGCTGTGGGATTTCAATGCGGTCCTCAGAGTGGAGGCTGGGGTCAGTTTGCAGGTAGAGAGAAATGTCTTTAACCTGGAGAAGACGACAGACAATGAGTCACACCAACCAAACAATAACTTCAGACTAACCAGCTGTGATGAAAACTCGCAGACTTTTAAAAGATATTTATTCATTGTTCCCATTTCTTCCCTTTACATCCTAAACTATGGCCCAGTCAGGGTTTTTCCTCAGATGACAAGTTATCCAGCAAAAATAGTTGAAAACCATAATTGGTTTTCCTACAATCTTTATGCTTTTCTGTCAGATAACTTCCCAATAAAGCACTCTGTGATTAGGGGTTATAACGGGGGTGTGAAAAATGTTTGTGTGTGTGAAAACTTACAGGTGATGTCAACCAGTTAGCTATCTCTGGCTTTGGGATGCTGCAGGTTCAGAAAAAATGAAAATTAAACAAAATCAAGACAAGGCGGAGGCATGTTCTAGATAAAAAGAGACGGATCGGATCACTCACTGTGCCCATTGTCTGTAACAGAGAATCGCGATGAGGAGGATAAGTATAAAAATCCCGCTCAGGGAAATGAAAAAGGTTTTGTGGAAGCTGTCATCTGGAAAAGAGAAAAAGAAAAGGACCAATTCTCTTTACTTTGTTTACCACTGTTATGCTGATGATACCCAGCTATATCTGTCTATAATCCAGATGAAGCTAACCCATTACATAGATTACAGGCATGTCTGAAGACATTAAAACCTGGATGAGTCTTAACTTTCTCCTTCACACTGAGCCTGGTTCTGCTGGAGGTTTCTTCCTGTTCAAAGGGAGTTTTTCNATGAGTCGATGCAATCAGCTGGTTTTCCTTAGATAGAAAACTTTGAATCAATCTGACTGGATGATCTGGTGAACTGGAAAGTGACCTGAGATAACATATGTTCTGAATTGGCGCTATATAAATAAATAGATTTGAATTGATGGAGCAATGGGAGGGTGAAGATAAAGAAGCTGCTTGAATATCAGAATGGTGAAATGTTGGGCTTCTCCTGATCTGAGCCCGTCTGAGACTATGGAAATGGTCATGCTCAGACGTTTGGTCTGAAATAGAAAGGAAGTGACATTAAAGAAAGGAAGTGACGTACTCTCAGGGTTGAGGGTTGCTGTGATTGATGTGTTGCCGCACTCTCCCACTGCTGTCCGGGCCACCACAGTGAAGTTGTAGGAGCTGATCATCAGGTTTTTCACCATCAGGCTGGTTTCTTCAGGATTGTCTAAATCACGATGTAAAATAGCTCCAGTCAAACTCAACACATTTATATTTTATCTCATGAAAACTTTCTTCAGATTTTTGTGTTTGCTGCACTATGAGCATCTGTGGATGTTTTAAGACCCTGGGAACACCCTCTAGCATATTCAGAACCTGAGTCCACCTTCACAGGTGAGCATTACCTGTAGTAACCTGGATGTTCTGGCCACTTTTTTCGTGGCAGTACAGAACATATCCACGGATAAAAGCAGACTGCTCTTTCACAGGAACTGGCTTCCAGGATATTTCCACATCAGTACCCATCTGTTTATACTCCAGAGGGTTAAAGAGCCCATCTTTAATCCCTGTGACAGAATGAAGAATTTAAAGCATTGATGAACAAAGTCTCTGTGCTGTTCTGCCAAAACAGTACAAATAACTGCAGCCTCACGTGTCTCTGTGATGTAGCCCTCCCTCTTCTCCAGAAGCACTGGAGAAGTTGTGGTGCAGGCGTAGATCGATAATGAATACCTCAGCCCATCGAGGAACTTCTCTGAAAATAATAAAGAAGATGTTTAAACAGGACAGTCACAGAAACCTTTTGGACTCACCATTGGGGCTAAGGAAAGAACTAAATCATTGAGACAATCCTACCTGGATTTATCTTGACCCTGGTCTGATTGGGAGGCAGCTTTAGCCAGTCCACATCACCATCATGGACTGCAGGTACCCAGTCCACAATGTAGCCACAGCTGGCGTCTTGACTGGCAGACCAGGACAGGCTCAAGCCCTGAGCACTTCCAGTGATCCAGGAGGTGTTGATACTGTTTTTTTCTGAAAATAAAGACGATGATGGTTAGATCTAGAGATATTATATCCCTCTGTCGAAAACTGAGTAAATGAAATAACTAATAACCCAAAGCTTGGTTATAATTACTTAGAATAGTAGTAGAGAAACCCTGACAGGTTACTCAGTTCTCTCTCAGTAACATGAAGCGTTTTAATTTGACATGCCGCTAACACTTTAATACTTTGAAGACGCACTCTTTCAATCACATGATTTTTACACCATCGAGTTATGAAAAAGTTCCCAAATCCAACATCAACCAGCTTTAAACCAAATCTTGTTTCCATGAGTTTATCACGGAGACTAGGATTCTCAAATACCAGTCCTGTACAGTGGGGGAAATTGTTGGGAGCTGGAGAAGTTCCATCTTTCTCCAGCAGAGTCCGCCATGGATCCTCCTGAGCTGAGCCTTCGACACACCTGAGGCGCATCTCATCATCAGAGGATCCACAGTATATAACCTGCCTTCAGACCTTGCCTCGACGCCGCAG